ATATTTAAAATTTAAAAAATTTAAATATGTATAGCGATGTAAAATATAAAATATAATAATAAATATTACAAATATTAACTTATGTAGCTTTTAGTTAAATTCTAAAATATTTAATACTATTTAATATATGTATATATATATATATATATATATATATATAAACAAACAAGGACACAGAACCACCTTCCTCTATAGAGAAACTCTGAAACCGCAGAGCATCAAATCTAGGAGGTGCATTGCCTCCTGGTGGCCACAGATGACAACTACACCCTGATCACCAACAAAACATATTGCACTCAGTGCATTTCAGCAAATATCACATTTTTGCATAACATGAATAATTCAAAAACAAGCCAAATGTGTATGCTACAAATGTAATTTTTATTAATTTAAATAATATGCAAATAAAGGGTCTATAATGATCCACAGAAAAGACATGCTTTGTGACTCATTTTTAAAATGTGTATATATATTTAGATTTAGATTTGTCCAGCAGAAATCTATCCAGAGTGAAGACTGAAACCTCTGACAACGATAAAGAAGACCTTTACATTCATAAGAGTTGTGTCTGCGTGTGTTTGCCAGAGGACACGGCTATAGGTCAATCCAAAATGGTCAGTGATAAAAGTGTACAGAAACAAGATCCGTATTCAAACTTCAAAAATTAAAATGCTTTTTTTTTTTCTTATAAAAACTTCCATTGCAAAAACAAGAACCTGGATACATTTCTACTTTGCAAAATTAACATTTTTACTAATAAAAAAGAAAAAGAAAGGAAGACAAAATAGAAGAGCAAAGGAAACACACAAAAGGAGAAAGAAAACAAACCCCAACCTTAATAATCGACTCCCTTTGGTAAAAACTGTAATAAACCATCCTGTCATCGTTTTCCATGTGGTTCCCGCTTTTTTCTTCCTAAACGCCACACTGAAGCACTGAACACAACACACATCTGGCATAAAAAAGGTCTGGTGATTATTTACACTGTATTTACAAAACTGTTGAACTATGTGTGTGTGTGTGTGATTCACAGGTCATGTTCACTGTAAGCTGGTGTATGGAGCAGATATAAGTGTGTTTTCTGATTCATAACATGCCTTCACACAGGCCTTGGACTTTTATTGCTGTCGCATTTATATATTTTTTGCCTATATTTTTAAGTAAAAACGGAATTTTTTCATTCTAATATTACAATGTTAAATTCGCACTTCAGATTTTTTGCTCTCTGAAATGTGGCAGAATAAATCTCTCAAAGTCACGTTAAAGCTAAGTGCACTTATCCCGAAACGTTTTTGTTTTCTGTTTTCGTAAAAAGTCTGATTCAGACTTTTCTGCCACTTTTTCTCGGATCTGCTGCCTGTTTTAACTATCAAAAACCAGCGAACACACTCGACTGGCGTTCAAGAGATGCGCGGAATCCGTTATATGTATCGGATCGGTGGGTTGGTCTACGGAAAGGGCTGTGCTGATTGGTCCGGGCTGGGTTTGACTGACAGGTCTTCAACCCCGTGTTTTTTGGCACTGGGCGACCTGCGTTTCTGCAGGAACAGCTTATAAAAAAAGGAAAACAAAAACACTGTTAAAAATCTCACGTCGTCGCTGAGCTCCGCCCCTTTCCGCTGATGTCACGGGCTCTTGTGGGCGCTGCCGTACTGGACCCTGTACTTATTAATGCGCTGGAAGTGAAGGATCTGGGGGTCACATGTGGTGGAGCAGGGCACCAGTCCCTCCCGCCCTTCTCCCATGAGCCACCTGCTGGTTTGAGCAGCCATGTCTCTGGTCACGTGCTCCTTCACCCAGCGCTGAGTCCAGGCGTGAAAGCGCTGGTGCAGACGTGTGCTCACTCGCTCGTGAGACTGAGAGAGAGAGAGAGAGAGAGAGAAAGAGAAAGCGCGCCAGAGCTGTGAGTCGCTGTGCTGAGGGACGAGTAAGGACTTTTCACATCAAGTACAAATTTGCAGCCACAATATTTTTAAAAATGCAAAAATTTGCTACAAGGTGAAACTTTCATTTTGTATTTATTTATTTATTTTTTAAATTCTGGAAGTAGCTTGGCAAAAACTCTAAAGTTTCAGATAGATGTCTATTTGTTGATTGAGATCACAAAAAAAATCACATCGGCAACTAAAAGAAGAAAAATGTATATTGCGCATAAATTGAGACCATATGTAATTACATAATAATAATAAAATATAATACTGTCAATATAAATATTAAATCCTACTAATAAATTATCCTATTAATACTATTAATATCCATATTAGCAACAATAATTATAATGCACATAAACTGAGAATGTATTTAGTTATATTAAATACATACAAAATAATTGCAAAATGAGAATTTAATTATATAATACCATAAATTTAAATATTAAATCCTATCAATATTCTATCCTTTTTTTCCTTTGCGACAAAGGCGAAAAAATATTGCAAAAATTGACACACACACACACACACACACACACACACACACACACACACACAAAAATGAAATCCTGCTAATAT